CAAATGGACTCATTTAATATTAAAACTTTCAGTCCACAGACCATTTCAGCAGACATGATCCAATTAACTATTAAAAAGCAAAATAAAACAAAAAGAAAAAATCCTCTCCTGGACAGCATAATTAAACCCTGCAATGCTCCATTTCTTGCTCACCCCATTTCCTGCTATGAAGAGAATAGGCTTGTTGGGTGGGAATGATAAAAAGAAGCTTGTGCTATCAGGAATTAGCAGGGTTCCCCCAATTTTGTAGCAGAGCCCCCATCTCAAATGAATGCCTCTACAACATTTCATTGCTTTTTTTTAGCTCAAATGAATCTTTAGCAAATAAGGAATTCCCATTAATTGTTACTCGACTGTCTTATTCTTGCTACCAATTTTGATTGAGAGCTTTACCCAGACACCTAAAATTTACCTCCAATCCAAAATATTATATTTTGACAGCCCTGTCCTCTACTGTTTCGTACATGATTAATATTTGTTTTTATATATCTAACCAGACCCACATTGTTCGAAAAGCACAGAATTGACAATACCATTTTATACATAGGAAATCTGGATGCTGGTTCCAATTCTTCTATGATTGCTCTTAGCTGTGTGTTCTAAAGAAGTCATTAAACCTTTCTGGGCCACAATTTCTTCACTTATATAAAGTAAATCTCTTGCAACACTAACAACTTTAGTTTTATGAAGGAAACACTGGCTGTGAGCCTTGAGATTTCATTTATGACAAAGAGGATCCCTACCAAGAAAAAAAACTCACTGCAATTTTTCTTTATAACCCAAATTACCTTGTGACACCTCCTTAAACTCCACCCCAAAAGTACTGTTCACTGTAGAAAAATAAGCAACACACAGGAAGATTTTGTATAATCTCATTCTTTGGTATTGTATTGTTACTAACATTTTCCCACTTAGTTACTCTATCCACTTCTCTACTACACAAGTGGTATTTAATGATAGCCTACCTGGAACTAGCTTCTCTAGATCCAATTTAATAGCTCCCTTTGAACCCCATGACCTTTCTTATCTCCACCAACACACACATACAGCACAAATTCTAACAACCAGTAACTAGCTCTTCCCAATATCATTAACTGATTGCCAGCTATGGACGAAGCACTATTCAAAGAAAGCTATACACTGCTTCTTTTAATCTTCATAGAGACTAAATGCACATTAAAAGAAGCAATACCTTGATCTGAATATATGTGCCAGCAAGCGCGTGCATGTGTGCCTGTTGCATGTGTGTGTGTGTGTTAGTTACTCTCTTATTGTCATGACAAATACTATGACCAAGACGATGTATAAAAGAAAACATTTAATTTGGGACTCATGGCTGCAGAGGGTTGGAGTCTATGGCCATCATAGTGGAGAGCATAGCAGCAGGCAAGCAGACTTGGCATGGCACTAGAGCATTAGCTGAGAATGCACATTTCAGTCCACATGCATGAGGCAGAGAAAGAGAGCTATCTGAGAATGGCCTGGGTTTTGAAACCCCAAATTCCACCTCCAGTGATACACCTCCACCAAAAAGGTGATACCCTCCAACCCTTCCCTAACAGGTCCACCAATTGGGGCCCAAGAATTCAAGTCTATGAACCTCTGGGGGCCGTTCTCATTCAAACTACCACAATATGCATTTTACTTTAACAAATGCATGTGCAAACAATATAGAACTTAACTCCCATCCAATGATTCTAAACACAGCTTAGGAAGAGACAGGACATTTCTTCCTCTAACCACAGGAAAGAAGCAGGTAACAATGAATGATAATATAGATATATTTCTAAGTGAAAGACACTGAATAAATTCACTGTAGGTGATGTCTACTAGTTCAGAGAATAAGTAAGCCAGGAAGCTAAGTAAAAAGTAAATGTATTATTTTATGGCTATGTCATGAAAACTTGTAATTGTTTGGTTGATTAAATTTTATATTCTTTTCTTCCTGATGTATCATCCTATCCCTACATTTAGGCAAAGTTTATAAAATGACTTGCCCTATTTTTTTTGTTTTTTTCGAGACAGGGTTTCTCTGTATTGTTTTGGAGGCTGTCGGTCCAGCCTGTCCTCGAACTCACAGAGATCCGCCTGCCTCTGCCTCCCGAGTGCTGGGATTAAAGGCATGCGCCACCAGCGCCCGGCTGACTTGCCCTATTTTTAATATGTGCTTTATTAGTTCTTTCAGAATTTTGTATGTTTTGATTATATTCACCCTCTCTCTCCCAATTCATCTCAGATCCACACGCCCTTCCCTACACATGTAACTTCGTGTCCTTTTTTTTTCCCCATGGAAGCCAATTTGTACTGCCCAAATATTCTTGCATGTGTGGTCTTCCACTGGACTATGGTCAGCTTTCCAGGGGGGATAAACTCTTAAAAAAAAGTGACTCCACCTCCCAGCAGCTAAAAATCGCCTAAACCTCCATGGCTAGGGGTGGCGCTTTGTGTCCAACTCCCCTTTCCATGCTCCTTTTTGCATGATTTTTATTTTATACTTGTAGGAAAGTAAAGAGAATAGTAAAAGTAATATATTTGTATGGTCTTTATCTAGACTAGCTCACTGTTTTGCCACAAATTCCTCAGTATTTTCTTGGAAAATATTTTCTAACTCAATGATCATCACACCTAGGTAGGTGAACACTTTCTTAATATCTAGTCTGTATACAGTTCAAAATCCTCAATTATTTGAAATAATGTCTGTTTTAATTCTGATAGTGTTTAATCAATGATAACACAGACTTTATCACCATATTTCTTTTAATCTATGACAGTTCCCTGAAATTTTTGTTTGTTTTTCATGATTGACCTTTGGAATAGTCTCAAAACAATGATATTTTAGAATGTATACACTTAATATATGATTTTGTGACTAGTTTCAGGTGAAAAATTTTAGTACTAATCTATCAATATAAGTGATAGCACATAACTATCATGCATGTCAAATCATGAGGCACACTAACCACCTTCTTCATTATTGGTCAGTTCCAGTTTGATTACTTCATAAGAGTGGTATACATCAGATAGCTCTTAGAAAAGCCTTTTTTCCCTTTTGTAATTATTAACCAATATACAGAGTAACAAATTTTGGGAGTACATGAACATCTTATTCCTCAATTATCTTAAACTTTGTAATTTTTATATTTATTGATGACCTTTGAGTGAATCAGCTACTATGGCACAAATGGAAAATTGTGATTTCCACATTGACTCAAACAACCAAAATGCTGAGTTTCATGGTGTGTAAACTGTGCCTCAATAAGACTATTTTTAGAAAGTTAACAGAATAACCAGTAGTCTTTATTTGGTCCATTTCCTGCTAGCATGTTTTTCTACCAAGAAATGGACTATCAGTTGAAAGATTTTATAAGTGAGGCAGGGTATTCAAGATGAAGATGAACTTAAACCTATTCCATGGAAAACTTGCAATTATAGTTTCCTAATTCTATCACCTATAGTTATTTGTTGGCATAATTCTGTACCGATTTCCCCCTCCCCCTTTCTTACTCTCTTTTAAAGGGTATAATTGTGACTTCATGAGGTTTCTGCCTTTAAAATATTATACTCTATTGTTACTATTATTTTTATGTTCAAGGCATCAAAGTATATATAGTAGTGGGCGTCCCATGAAACAAACTGATGTTCTGATAAAACAGCATTAGTATTAGGACAACGTTTTCTTCCTTGCACATCCCACAGTCCTCCCGTACTTCTTGCTGTCATCCCTAAGATCAAAGTCACCCAAGAAGAATCATTTTCTTTAAATGGGATTTATTTGTAGAAACCAAGATCTTGGGCCTCAATATGTGCATTGCTACTTGGGTATCTAACTGTCAGCACTTCTAAGCCCTTTCCATGTATAGAACAAAAAAATTCAGCTTCATTATTGTTATTTGAATTTTAAATTTATAATACAAATATATAAGAAAAATAACTTGCATCCCATTTCTCAATTTAAAAAAATCCTAATTTCTAGGCTGCCCTTTTCTGAAGGGAAAGGAGGAGAAGTGGATCTGGGGGAGAGGGGAGGTGTGGGGGAGGAATTGGGAGGAGAGAGTAGAGGGGAAACTGCAGTCGGGATGGAATACATGAGAGGAGAATAAAAAAAAAAAAAGAAAAAAAGAGGAGAGACTAGTCACCAGATCTATAATATCTTACTAAAGGGTATTTGGTGCTCCTGACACAAAGAAATAGTGTACAGTAAGTAGAATGCATCATGGATATGTGTTGGACTAAAATATAAAATGTAAATGAAAACAATCCTAATTTCTATTAACATTAATATATGTATACATTCTTTTATTTTGCTATAGCTACAAAATTGTAGTGGTATTTGTTCTATAATTCTGACACTAACAACTGAAAGTTTATTTTTGCATTTCTTTTCACCTACTAAGAATGCACTACCAAGAAAACTATACTCTGGGACACTGGAAATGAGTCAGTTAAGTGTTTGCTGCTAGTATCATCAAATCAGTGAGCTTCAGGCTCAGAAACTCTGTCAAAAAATAAGGCATAGAAGGAAGAGGGAGATACCCAACATTGATTTGCCCAGTTTCTACAAGCATGCAACACATCCCTCAAACACACAAGAACTTATACACACGCATGCTCTCACACAAAACACACTCAAGAAGCAACGTTGCATTCAATGGCTATCAGCACTGTTATAGACTACACTGGTTTGAGAGGGGGGATCTTCAGTATTTGTCTCTGTTCCCATTTTGGACTCCAATTCTGAGTATATAAAACATTTCTTTACTGAGATCAAAATTGTATACAAAAGAAATTTAAAAGTTCTGCTTCTATTCATACTGTCAACACACTACCTTTATCTATTCACTAATTTTGTTAATTTCTAGTTAATTCCTCAGAGCTCATATGGGCATGAGCTGAACAACAGCCTTTCAGCAGAGTTCTTGTGTCAGTGTGGTCATTGAGAGCACACTGTGTGTTGTACGGTATTTTCATATCTACAACATATACACAAAACAAACACCAACCTGAGTTCTGACTAAGCCACTGCAGAGAGTCCATATGAGTACTCAGAATTTTGCAGATCTGCTGAAGCTGAAAACACAACCAAGATTTTTAGACTGTGATTATTCTAATGTAGTAAACAAAAAGAAAGAAACACAGGAAATTGAAATTAGGAAGCAACATTTTAATTTTCTTCTGGTAAGTGGTGCTCTGACAACGAACTACATATTAATGGTGTTTTGGCATTTCATATTTTTAATGCTAATTACTTTTGTGCATTAGTTCAATCTATTCATTTTGTAAATGTCAGGGATTAGAGTTCTACAAATCAATAAAAATAAACCTAACGAGCACAATATAAAAATAAAGAACATTAAGAGATATTTCAAAAGAAAACAAATAAAACAATCCACATAAAATTAGGAACATCAAATTTGTCAATCAAATCAGCAATTGCTTGTTTTGTTTTGTTTTTGTTTTTGAGACAAAGGCTTGTTAAGTGGTACTGGCTGGCCTGGAACTTAACCATGTAGCCCAGGCCCTTCCTCTACCTCCTGAGCGCTGGGACTATAGGAGTCCACCAACGTGCAGAGCCCCTCAAATTCGTTATTTTAAAAATAGTAACATTAAATAGTCAAGTACAGTTTGATTTTTCCTCACCTAAAATTCTTGAAAAGGATTATTTCAGTTTTTTCAACTTTTTGGAACATTACATTATATATAATGAAATATCCTGGAGATGGGAAACAAGTCTAAACATGGAATTTATATGTCATGCATATCTTGTACATATAGCCTGAAGGTGATGTGATGTAATATTTGTATTATAACTGCATTTGTGTGTGTGTGTGTGTGTCTGTGTCTGTTTTGGTTTGTTTGCTCACTCATTTGTTTCTCACAAGCTATACAAGACTTTAACCACTGAGCCACATCTGGAGTTCAGCTATGCCAATGTTTTTAGGCTGTGACCCATTTCATGGGTGTGGACTGTTACACTTGTACATAAATAATTTCATCACTGAGAAAGTTTTAGATTTTGGAGCATTTAAGATTTCACTATTTCAGATTTGGAAAACTCAATTTGTAAATAGGAAAAATCAATACATTAATATACATTCAACAGAAATATAAATTGGCCCACATTTCCAAATGTAAAATTTTATAGCACTTATCAAAAGTTTTAAAATATTTAGCCCTTTTTACTGAGTATATTCTACTTCCAGGAGCCTACCCAAACATAATTGTTCATTACAAGGCTATATTAGATTGCTCAAAATTTGGAAACCATATCTCTAGCAATAAAAATGTTAAGTATATTATAAAATTTGCCTCTGGTGAAATATCTTGGCAGCATTAAAATTCACATTGTCAAAGAATGACTAAAATTTTGAGAGAGAATCATGAAAAGAGAAAGTAAAAATTACTATGGGTATGTTTCTGATTTTATTTAAACAGAGCATTATTTTTCTAGTATTATAAAATCCTAGAAGAAGTATATCAATATAGTAGGAAGGGATTAGTAATACTTAATTAATATTTAATTTTTTATGGATTTTATAAAAATATAACAGGGTAGTAGAACATAATGTTTAATAAAAATTTAAGTATTATGTGGTCTCTCTCTTTCACCCCAGCACACACACAAGAGTAAAAGAAGTCATTGAATCCAAGTACTATGAATTCTGGAACACATAGCTTCTACTTTTGTAGCATGATATATAATCTGCTGTAACAGGGTTTGGTGATGATTGTTACATTATCCATAGGGACATTATCATTCACCAGGTGTGTGTTTTCCCTACTTTCTGTCTAATGATTTATGCTATCTGTAAAAAGGGGTGATCTCTTGCTTCCTTTGCCCTGCTATCACACAGTAATTACCCTTAACTTACTCATCTTAAACATCTCAATTATCCCTACCAGAAAAAATGAAAACATAAGGCTATTTGCTATTCACTAGTAAAACAAAATTATCGTGGGCAAAGTTGGGGAAAGGATAGGATTTTACTAACTATGTTGACAACACTTCTCTGTTTATGTTTATCAATGCATCAGAAATCTATTACAACGAAACAATTTTGAATTTTGCATTTGGAATCTAACAGAAATGTACTCATGATCATCTTTGTGAACACAGGGCAGATGGTAGCATTGGTAATTCCAGACTACTTTATATATGTCATTGTTCAATTTTAGATTGATGCTAAGTAGAGAATGGCATTGTTTATGGCTGAAAGGGACTTACAGATCATTTATTCTATTCTTGACATTTCACAAAAGGGGACAAAACCCAAAGAGATTTTGTGACAAACAATATTATAATAGTTTTTCAACTCTAACTGGATTTTTTCATGATTAAAAGATTCAGTAATAATATGTATGTACAGAAAGGACAGTCTGCATCTAATTGGACAAAGAACTTGCTAGAGAATAATCACCACTTGTGTATATGTTATTCATTCTCATCTACCGGGATCCTAGCCTCATTGCTACTTATAATTAATGATAGAAGGCACAATAGAAGCTCCCACAATGGGAGATTCCTCTTAGCACTCGTGCCATTCAGCGAGAGTGGGGAAAAGAGGTCTTCATCTATGCCACTGAGATAATAGAAAAAGGTACAGGAAATACGCTCTTTATAATTAGAGTATAGGAAAATGACTAAGGAACCCTGCTTCTTTCTCACTATCAAATTAATTCACAGAATCTCAATTCTAACAGATTCTCAACCATACATTCCCATAATATAATGTATTTGCCTTCTAAGCTAAGTAGTATTCTGTGAGGCAGTTAGAAACATACTGACAATATTTGAGAAAGAATTCTATGGAAAATGTTAAGTCTTAATAGTCAAGTCACTACATTTTAAATATATAAATTGAAGAGTGCTTAAATATGTCTAATAGACCTAGATTTATCTGCTCATATTTATGAGTAAATAAATTATATGTTATGAAAAATTAATGAGTAAGTGAAAAAAAGTACCAGGATATAATTAAACATGTAAAGACTAAACCCTGTACAAATGGAAAGTCATTTATTTTATCCTCCTGTGAATAACCACAAACTCCCATCTGTAAATATTTACTAAATATTTACTGTCCTTCTAATCATGCCTAAGAACCTCATATCTCTAGTGGGCAGACAAGGAGCACTCTGGAGGACTGGAGAATGTGACAAATTAAAAGACTTCCAGAGGGCCGATTTCATATGAAATTGTGGCATTCTACATAAAACAGCAGGGAACATACAGGTATAGAAGTGTCATCAGGACTTCCAAGTGTATTCAGATGAACAATAATGTCATTGAGATCTTGAGACATTCTTTTCAGCTCAGCATCTATGTTTTCTGCTAATTTGTAGCTGCAAAGACAAGTGAAAGAAAGATTAACAAGAAGCATTTCCTCACATCTACCATTACTGATACAAAAAGATGTAATTACAAATTAAATTTGTCTTAATTCCCCTATATTCACATTGGTTCCCAGTTACGACCAATGACACTGTTTCATGGATTCTATGTTTGCGAACTTATTACCATCATAACCTAAGACTACATTTAGCCTCTGATGAGTGCTACAGCAAAGGAACCATTTTGGAAAAACCAAATGTATGCAAAGGGCATTTAGCTAGATAGAAGACTAGTGTTTAGCAAAATTCAATAAATGTTGAGATTGCTTTAATTATAGAGAATACATAAAATTTCATAGTAAAACCTTATATGACATACTATTGCATACTTAAGGATATTTTAGGAAATGAGCTTTATAACAACAAAAGTTAGATAAATCTGAGTTTACTACAAACTGATTAGTGATATGAATTCTCAAAAATCCAAACTGATTATGTGGCAGAGAGTGGGGAGCCGGTAGGGATGAAGAAAAATTGATTGATTGATTTAGTCCAGTCTATCAATATGTTTACAAGAATTAAAAGTGGCCAGAAGATTTTTCAGACTTACTATCTATAAAACTAAAAGACTCAATCAGATTGCTTGGTAACCATTTATTGCTTTCTATGCCAAATCACTTAAAAGTAATTTTTTGCCTAAACTGTTGAAAATTTGAGTGAAAATGTTATTGTAATGTATATCTGACAATAAGAGAGTAACTGGAAAGGAATTAATGTTTATAAGCACTCCCATCCATAGTTAGTATATTATAAAATGCAAGTATTTTAAAAACAAAACAAAAAAGACAGAATAAAGTTGAACATGGTGCAAATTCCTGTAATCACAGCACATGCAAGCATTTCAGGCTAGCCTTAGCTGTTACAGAGTTTGTCCTAGATGAGACCTTCTCCAAAAATTGATAAAAATATATAGAATATGTCAGGCATGGTGGTGCACACCTATAACCCCAGCACTCCAGAGGCAGAGGCAGGTGGATCTCTATGAGTTCAAAGACAGACTGGTCTACAGAGGGAGTCCTAGATCAGCTTCTTTTACATAGAGAGTTCTAAGCCAGTTAAGAATACATAGTCAGACCCTGTCTCAAACAAACTAACAAACAAACCGAAAAAAGTGTGTGTGCTTGTGTGTGTGTGTGTGTGTTTCACAGAAACAATGGCAAAGAATAGAGCTAAGAAAGAAGAGAAAAATAACAAAGGAAAGAGGAGGAAAACAAAGGTTGGAATATAAGACTAGAAACAAGATGGAGGTCAGTACATATTAGCTGTACTTATTCACATTTAAAGACCTACAAAAAATTAACTTTCAAGCCTTAAAAAACAAGTTCAGAGCTGGGCGTTGGTGGCGCACGCCTTTAATCCCAGCACTCGGGAGGCAGAGGCAGGCAGATCTCTGAGAGTTCGAGGCCAGCCTGGTTTACCAAGGGAGTCCCAGGACAGCCTCCAAACAATACAGAGGAATCCTGTCTTGAAAAACCAAAAACCAAAACAAAACAAAAACAAGTTCAGTGACAAAGGACTTGCAAAAGCTCAGCTGGGCAGTGTGATGGGTGCCTGTAATTCCTTCTACTCAGAATGCTAGAGTGACAGAATAACTTTAACCCAGGAGTTTGACAAGAAGCCTGGGAAAACCATAAGAACCTGTCTTAAAAATGAAGAAAAAAATCCAAAACATAAAAGCTAACAAACCACTGACAAAATGAGTCCCAGTTAGTCTCGATTTAGATAGTATAGTATGTTCACACATCTCTTAATGCTGTATAACTGGCCTGATTGTCAAATCTCAGTTCTAGGGTTACCATGGGTACATTGACAATGAACAGACACAAGGTAAAGAATGAACAGTACACAAATAAAACACACCTAGCCCAAAACGCTGACAAAATCATTCCAATTTTGAAAACCATAGTTCATTCTCAAATGAACAGTCAGTCTGTCTTTGAAATATCAAATAATGTATGACTAAAACAACTGTATAGATATTAGGTTTACATGTGTCAATATGAGGAAACCAGAAATATTCCACAGTACTATATCACATATAAGCTTTGTATTTCTAATTTAAGAATACACTTGACAAATATAAAAATGTTACAGTAGACAAACATGAGCTTGAGATTAATAATAGTGAACAAAATGTTATAATACAAGCCGCTAGAATGACTCCTTCATTTCTAAGCCTCTGATAAAGATAAACATGGAGCAGTCAAACAAGCTGATAAATACCAACTAGAACTTGCCCTTTTCTACTAATATTTATTATCTGCTTTATTATTCAATTTCTCCCTCCTTCTGCCCAATTCTTCAATCTCTATTCAGTTACTTACATTCTCTCATACTCTTTATCTACATAGAGCAGATTAAACGGCAGATTCTGTTCCTTCACAAACTCCTCCAAAGGAGTCAACAGACGTTCCAGTTCCTTCTGCTGTGACAGAATAAAATCCAATTCTCGCTCCAACCTGAATAAAACATGTTAACAGAAAGACTGATGAAAACAATTTTGGGTAACAAATTAAATGTCAATAAACAGCAAGGGGAAAAAACAGGAACAATAATATCTCGAATCTTTCAAGCAAAAAAGTCTAAGGTTCTACCTGCTTTGATCCAGTTTCACCTTTTCCATTTCGTTGTGTAAAAGAGTAAACTTTAAAGAGAAATAGGAACAAAATGATGTTAATATTCAAATTTTCTCAATAATTTTAAAATACCCATTTTCTCAGACCCTTGAAATAGCAAACACTTCCTAACTCAGGGAGCATATTAGTTTAGGAAAATGTTTTTAAGCTACTCATCAATATTGCAACAGAAAACTAATCACAAAACCAAAGTCTATTCACTTGTGTTATTCCAAAAATACTTGTACAATACAGGAAGGCTAATGAGAATATCTTCCTACCTCATCACCACTCTCAATCAGTGTATGGTTCCAAACATTAAGTGGGTTGGCCTGATAAAGAAAGCGTTTTTCTTGCTCTTGAAGTTGAAAGTTCCACTTGTCCACCACACTATCCAGGCGATCATATGTCATCACAGGAGTCACTATTGAGCTAAAATATAAAAAGATATACTAGATCGTATGTTTTTAAAGTACAATCATATTTTAAAACAAACAGTACAGGAAGACTAGGAGAAAAAGCCCGTGGGGAGATTATTGTATCTGCTTTCCAATAAAAATAATATCAGCTAAATATGACTTTAAAACACCCAGGTAAATGCTTTAAAAATTTTCCTAAGGGAATAGAGTAAATAAATACTTCTTAAGATGTCTACTAAATCGCCGTCTACTTCTCCTCTTCCTGTTATGTCAGTACAGCATGCTGAAAGCTCCAAGAATCATCTTAGTCCAAGTGCGCTTCTGAGTACTAGTCACAAATGAACCGTGAAGAACACAAACTGCCCTGCCAATTGCATTAAAAAAGCTGAGCATCCACTTGATCTCCAATTCTGTGATCAGGGCACCTAGGCCACACTGACTCTAGCAGGAGTAGTATCAGTGGAGCTCAGTGTGGAGGTAGCAGGTAATACTTTCCTGGCAGAAGTAGGCAGCATTCTAGCTTCCTACTGGGGTACTAATGGTGACATATATGGCAGGGTGAAGCAAAATCCTCAGTCAAAAGCAACAAGGCTTAATGAGTTTGAGTAAGGCAGGAAGCAAAAAGACCCAGTAGATATTCTAACCTCTAAAGACTGAACACTCTAAGACAAATTTGGACTGGTAACAGCTCCCATTCCCTTCATTCTGGGAGTCAACAAGACTTGGAGGGGAGTTTAACCTCTACACTGACTTGCAAAACCAAAACTGAAGGCGGCCAATCAAAGGACTATCTTTTTTCTTCCACAAGTCTTGTGTCAGAAAGGCCCAGCACAGAGCCAAGCCTCCATGGAAAAAGAGCATCAGTGAGACCACACAAGGTGAGATGAGGTAGAGTAGTTGACATCCTGTGTCCTCTGTCAGCCTCCCCCTGTATCAACTAAAGTACTGAATTAGTTCATCATTTGCCTCTTCATCCGGTGCTCCAAGGCCCATGTGCAAGCTGGACTTGCAATCCTACAAAAGGTAGTGAAGTGGTGTGATGCAGTGTCCCACTTTCACAGGGAATGAGTCAGCAGAACTGAGAGAGTTGAACCTCCATACTGTCTAGGTACATTGAGGCAGTATGACTCAGTGCTCCATTTTTGCTGGGATGCTGGGCGCAAGGTCCAGTGGAAAGCTAAACATAAAAACACACTCACCCTTCGTGCACTATATCTCAACAAAGGAACTATCTAATGAAAAGAAAGGAGATATAAATAGTACCCAAACACTTCTAACATAATAGACAAACATCCATAACACAATAAAAATGATCTGTATCAAGAACTAGGAAAATCACCACTTGAAAAAGAACAGACTAGCAACATGGATAACAACATTAAGAGGTATCAGATGCTGGGAACTGAACTGCCTAAAAGGAATTTTAAAGCAGTCACTAAAAATGTCTGAAGAGGGCAATTTTTAATCCTCTTGAAAGAAATTTAAAAAATCAGCAAAGAAATGGAGACTATAAAAAACAAGTGGAAAATACACAACCAAAAAATAAAATTTCTGAAATGGACCTACTTGAAGAGTTTGACACTAGAGTGCAGCGTACAGAAAACAATCAGTAACCTTAATGGCAGGTGATTAAAATTTACAGTACCACAAAGGGAAGACAGAGACGAATGAAAACAGCCTTGAAGACATAGAAGGACAATAACAAATGAGATAACAATGTATGCAAGAGAACTTCCAGAAAAAGAGAAGAGAGTGGGCCTGAAAAATTATTGGGAAGAAAAGGTTGCAAACTTCGAGAATTTGGCAAAAGACATAAAGTTGAAGATTCAAGAAGTTAAACAAATAGACATAGAGTAACTCACAAAAATCCAGTTTGACTTCTGGAAGGTAAAGATAATTTTTAAAATTGTGGAAGTAAAAAGCAGAGAGAAAAAATGTACTTAAAAGGGAAGAGCAACTGAATGATAGCTGACTTCTCATCTGAAACTGTGAGGTTAGGGAGACGTCACATGTTTTCAAAATACTGAAAGGAGAAAAAAATGTTCATGACTTTCACATCTTCAGAAATGAAGAGGAAATAAAGATTCTATATCCAAGTGAAGAAATAAGGTAAGGCATTACTAACAAGTCTACTCTTGTCGACTAACTACAAAGAAAGGCAATGGAAAGTCTTGTAATGTCACATCAAAATGGCTGAAAAGAAGGGCAAAGTGTTATTCCTTTTCCGTGTGTTTCTTAGGTTGTATTTGATGGCTGGAATGAAAAACACAACCTTCTGGGGTGTTATGTTCAATGTACATAGAAGAAATACTTGTGACAACAATACTTACAAGATCAAGGTGGAAAAATTAAGTAATGGGTTTGGTTTCTCCACTTGATCCAAAGTGGTAAAATGTCAATATTAATAAACTGTCTTAAGTTATACATGTATACCTTAATATCTACAGCAACTAGTAAAAAATTATATGAAACAAAGTATTAAAAAACACAATACATTAAAACAAGATGAAACTCCCTGGAAATTTCCAGCAATCATGGGAAGATTAAAAACAAGGAGAAACAGGACACAAACCAAAATTAAAAATCAAATAATCAAACAACAGAGACAATTAGTCAATAGTTTCTTTGACTATAACTGTGTTTGACAATGTGGTGAATAAACATCCAACAATATAAAGGCCTACAAGAAATCACCCCAAGAATATGGGTAGAAAGGTAATAGAATTAATAGTGTAGAACTAGGGATTTTTTTTGTTTGTTCATTTATTTTTGGAAAAAAAAGATGTTCCTATCATATAGGGTAGACTACAAAACAATGAAAATTACCATATTCAAAGTTAAGGGGAATTACATAATAATAAAGAAATCAAGTTACAAAGAGAACTGCTAATTCAAACGTATATTTGACCAAACAATAAAACCTCAAAATATATGAGAAAAAGATACATTATAGATAATGAGAAGAGAAGGGGGAACTATGTAGGGGGAAGGAAGGGACTATAAACAGGAAGTAGGTGTGGGAAACAGGGGGGAGCAGCAGGCATGCAAATAAAAGCAAATGATGATAATCATGTATAGAAGTGTTATAGTGATGCCCATTTCTTTGGGTGGTAATCAGAAAGTTAATAAAAATAACTACAACGGGCACTAGAATTTTCTCAAAAGAGAAACCGATAAAGCTCAAGAGAGAAAATAAGACAAATTCAAAATGATTTGGTTGAGAACTTCAAAAAGCTATTCTCCACAACTGAAGGAATCACTAGACTAGAATATGGCAAAACCCCCAAATCTGAAAATACAATAACAGAATCTAACAGACATACATAGAACATTACAAGCAATACAAGAAAACAGAATATTTAGGTTACCGTAGAACATTCTGCAAGATGGACCATTTCCTTCCGCATAAGAAAAAAATCTTAACAAACATAAAATAGCTGAAATCATATGGAGTATGCTCACCGACTATAACTAATACCAAAAGAAGAAAATCTCTGCACACTTGGAAAGTAAACAACATGCTTTCGAATAATCCATGACTTAAAATGAAATCAGAGCATAGTGAAAGATGTGGGCCACAGGAAAAACAGTTGCACTAAAGGATGGCATGAGAAGAAATGCCTCAAATCAGTAGCCTAAGATCATCCGTTAAGAGACTAGCAAAGGAAAATGAACCCAATATCATCAGGAGAAAAGAAACAACAGTGGATGACAATGAACCTGAAAACAGGGAAGTAATCAATGAAACAAAAGATGATTCCTTAGAGAAATATCAATAAGATTCATACAAGGAAGACACAGGCCACCAACATCAGAAATGAAACAAGACTATATCTCCAATATGGAAAGGACAGTAAGGGAGGGCCACAAACAACTTTATGCTCATGAATTTGACAACTCAGGAAAAACTGGACCTGTTCCTTTAAAACCACACACTGTTGAAGCTCATTAAAGATAAACTGAGACAGTCTGACTGGTTCTGGATCCATTAAAAAAGTTTATGTTTAATTTAAAGGATTCTGTAAGAGATGTATCTGGGCACAGAAGTTTTCATTAAAAAGTAGTTAATGAATCAGTACCAACTCTACAATTTCTTTTAGAAAACAGGAATAAGAAAGCCTCCCAGAGCATTTTATAAGTTGTGAAGTTGGTAGTGATTTCATTAACTGTTATTCTGATATCAAAACTTAAAAGCAAAAACAAAGTCAGCGTATATAAATACAAAACATATATAAAAATACAAAAATAAATAAAATACATATCATTATATCTTAGTCAACCAAGTTGAAAAGTGTAAGAGCCAGGCTAGTAGATGATGATAATGGCACAGCAGGGCAGCTGTTCACATGGACTTCCAGCTGTTGTGAGAGCATGCACGAGACTCGCACAAGCCCAAGCCAGTCCAAATCATAACCTGGAGAGGCAAGGCAGGAATGAAGCCCCACCCTTAGTCTAGCTGCTAGGAGAGGGACAATAAGTTTTCTTCAAGAGAGTAGCTGGGGAGGAAGTCCAATAATATATTATCAGACTTGATGGGTGTAAAAAAAAGAGAAGAAAACACAAAGTTGGGTGAGTAGGATCAGGTTGGGTCTGGGAGGAGATGCAGGAGAGGACGAATATGATCAAAACACATTGTATAAATTCTCAGAGAACAAAGAAAAATGTAAAGATGCGCAACATCATTAGGCATTAAAATTCATACCACAATAAGGTCACTTCACATCTTTAAGAAGGGTGGTAAAAAAGTGTCATATTGCCACAACCAAGCAAGTAATTATGGACAGTTTGGGTAACTCATACACTACTGGTAGGTACACAGAATGGCATAACCACACTGGAAAAGTGTTTGGCACCTAAAATAATTAATATACAAACATCACACTGACAAGCACATACATTCCTGGGCATTTATCAGATATGTAAGACTTAGGTTCCCAAAAACGCGTGCACGTAAATAATCATAACAATAGTCCTAAACCTAGAAACAACCTAGATACTTAGCAATACTTCTAAGGTTAAACAAACTACATTATACCAAGTAGCATGGAATACTACTCAGAAATTCAGACAGACAGACAGACAGACAGACAGACAGACAGACAGAGGGCTCAAGCTATAGGGTGGAACTTAATGAATTGTGCTGAATGAAAACAGAAGGCCAATTCTTAGAGGACACATATGTCTCCATCTGTATAGCATTCTTAAAATATTGTGAATATGCAAATGAAGAACAGATTAATTCCTACCCAGACTTAAGGAAAGAAGGAGAGATGTGTTCATAAAAGGGCACCAAGAGAAATCTTTGTGGTGACAGAACCATTTTGTCTGATTTTTATTTATTATTTTTAATATTTAATTTTATCTTTTAATGTGTGTGTGTGAGTGCCTGTGCATGTGGACAGAGAGCACTAGAGCCCCTAGAGCTGGAGTTCTAGGCAATTCTGAGCTGAGGTCCAAACACTAGTCCTGTGGAATAGCAGCAAGTGCTGTTAGCCACTGAGCCTTCTCGCCAGCTCCCTGTTCTGTATCTTGATTGCATCAATGTCAATATTCTAGCTTAGTTCTAAACTATAGTAATGCAAAACTCTGTCATTGCAGGAACAGTACAAAGGACATGCAGGATGTTTCATGTAATATGCAAGTTTACATAAGTTCTTGAGTTTGTTTGAATGTTTGTCATGGCACACACATTGTAATCATTAAAGAACTACCTAATCTCTATGTGCTCCAGTCTTCTGTAAAACAGGACCCCAAATAGAATCTATCTCATAGGATACTTCTGAGTTGTTAAATGGCGTGAGGTTGTTAAAGAACTGCCATCTTGTTAAATAGAATTACACAATAAATTATAGTTAATAATAATACTAGTAATGACTGTATAACAGTATTTCAGAAATCTGTTGACTGTTCTTCCTGAGCTACATATAAAAAACCCTCCCCTGGTCCCTCAACTGCTTTATAAAATACTAGTCTAAAGCTATACATGCAATAATGCCTATAAAGTGATAAAAATAAAACACAAAACTTCAAATAAACAAGCTTACTTTACAGTCATGGTAACTGGTAGGGAAGCCACACTGATTAAGCCAGTGTCACTAGTCCAAGGTGATGCTGGTGGTTTGAAATACAGGTTGAAACCACTTGTCATTGTGGTAGTAGTATTGGTGGTAACGGTGGTAGTAGTAGTCGTTGAGGTTGTGGCTAGAAAATAAAATAGGCAGTGTTGGTAAGAATTTACAGTATTAGTAAGAAATGAGAAACTTGTGTTAGCTAAGCCTCAGTCATTCAAGATTTTTTTAAATATGGGGAGTCAAAGCCATAGATTTGAACCCAACACTGTTGTAATAGGAAGTGATATACAGCATAACAGGCATCTAAATTAACCTTCATGCTGAAAATTAAAACTGCTGGAGAGAGTCATTAAAATATAAAATATAACTCAACCAGCTCTATAACCATTAAGGGAATTTAATCAATTCTTAAAAACTTTTCCCATAAATATTGAAAACTACAGACCCAGATGGCCTCACTTGTAAGTTCTATTTAACTTTCAAAGGAAAAAAACCCCACAATTTTGCAATACACACACAATCTCTGTAAATATTTTGTATAAAAACATAACTGTATTTGAGAAACTCATTCCTACAAATTAAATTGCTACATCATCATACTGAATCAAGTGTATGTTCTAAATCTTAATGAATCTTGTGAAAGTGTCCTACCGAAGTGATTTTGAATAAACAAGACAAAACTATGTTCTTGTCAATAGAGAAAAGTGCCTGTTTCTCTACATCTTAGCTAACACTAGCCATATATCTTTGCCAGGCTGGTTAGCAAAAGCCTCTCAAAGTTTTATTTACATCCCAGACCTCTTTTACAACTTTTCTGTTGTATCCCTTCTAGAATGCCTTGCCCTCTTACACATTAAGACTGAACAGACTTCATAGCTTAAGTCCCATGTTTCCTATGTTTGTTGCTGACTTCTACTCATAATTTTCACATCTTTAATAGCACTATTGATCCTCACTGTTTACCAAGCATATAAAGAACAATGCAAGAAAACTATGGCTATCACATTTTCTTCTTTTTGGTTCTTTGCCGTTTCAAATATTCTTGGCAATTAAATGAGTCTTGTTTAACTTGAAATTTGTAATAAAAATATTATTTGTACACAATGGATTGTGTTAGCCTGGCTTTCCCAATTAGCAATATGTTCAGGTGAATGACTGTACTATATAACCACAGAAATCATGGTGCCTGCTAAGTGCACTGACTAGTCTCAGGAGTCTGGCCTACTTCATTCCTGCTGAGGGAACAGGCATAGGCACCCATGCTTTATTCCAGGTAACTGTCTGTTGCTCCTGGTTCACAGTACATATAGCCAGTAATGAGTGTGTGGGAGGAAGGTGCCCCATATGCCACTAGCTTCTGGGGAGTGACACAAAAAAGTTCTAGCTAGAGTTAGGATAGATCAGAATCTCATTCTCAAAAATTGGGGGACATGGAAGAATGAAGCTGTGTTTGATTTCTATAGAAATAAATGTGGAAATGTGGAACCAGATTAAACATAAGAAATTGGGAAATAACTCCAAAATGTAGAAAAATCAGACTGTAAGCAGAGGGAACTAAAAAGATTGACAGATGAACTCAAGTAGAATAAAGGCGCTGCCATGAGCAAGTCAAAATTGGGAATAAGACAAAACACAAAGTCAGAAAAACAGAGGAAGAAACCACTAAGAAATTTTAAAGAAAAATGGAGATAAAGGGAGAATAACGGAATGGCATGCATGCAATACTTGATGTAGGCACCCAAGGCTGTCACATGAACACTTCTTGAGTACTACTTCCCGGAGGTACCAGTGGCATGAAAAGTCTGCATGAGATTCTTGTAAAATTCCGCGTGCCTTTTGGCATAACGAACCTTATGGCAATACTACCTCGGATGTGTTAGCTCATGCGGGAATGCAATGAGCAGCACACAGGAGGACTATGCTCAGTAACAAAGTGTTTGGGTTTAGTATCAATAACAACACTGGGGAGCTTACAGGCTGGACCCCAGTTGGTGTTCTGTATAGCTACATAGCATTATTTTCATCACTTGAAAATAAATACCTCATCCAAAAGGAGAGCTTTCCCTAGGAATAATGGCAATTGATTGCACTATCAAAAAGCCTATTTTTAAAATTCATTTTAACACGGTAGCTGTATATTCAAGAAAATTTAAAATGAATCCTTGAAATAGTCTACCTTATCCAGAGGAGATCATCTAATAAAGTATCTTGAATTTATTACCTGGACAGATATACAGAGATCTAATTAAGAGAAAAGATATAGTCCAGGATAAGGAATGCAACAATGTGCTGGGCAGTTTTCATCAACTTGAAGCAAGCCAGAAGAGGGAACCTCAACTGAGAAACTGTTTTCATCAGAGTAGCCTGCAGGTCTATGTCTGTGTGATAAGTTTTATTACTGGTAATTAATGAAGGAGGGCCTACCCCACTGTGGGAAGCACCATTTCTGGGCAAGTAGACCTGGGTTGCATGATAATGTAGCTGAACACGAGCCTGAGAGCAATCAAGCAAGCGTCATTCCTTCACGTTTCTGCTTCAGTTCCTGCTTCCAGGTTCCTGCCTTGAGCTCCTACAAACAAATCCTTTCCTTCCTCAAGTTGCTTTTGGTCAGTGTTTTATCACAGCAGTATAGAAAGCAAAATAGAACAGATAATATTGTCCCATTCTTACTAAAAACAGATAATTTCATATGTTTTATATATGTGAGATTAAGCCTGAAAGGATAAACGAAATCTTTGTCCTAGAGGAAATGCTATGTGTGTATATAGCTGCATGCATATGTACATATATGCATGTATGATTTTTATAGTAAAAACTCAAAAATCAGCATTCTCAAAAACGTGACTAACTAGAAAAAGCAAACTATTCCAAAAGATGCTGAATGATATCTTACAGAAGTAATACCTGGCAGCCTAAATGTAAAGGAATCTTGAGTCTTATTAAAATACTATGATTAATTTTTGTACAGTATTTTTTACTTACCTTCCATACCATTTTAAAGGTATGTCTTAGTTAGGGTTTCTATTGCTGTGAAGAGACACCATGACCACGACAACTCTTATAAAGGAAAAAAACTTTTAATTGGGGTGGCTTATGTTTTCATAGGTTTAGTCCATTATCAATACCATGACCACGACAACTCTTATAAAGGAAAAAACCTTTTAATTGGGGTGGCTTATATTTTCAGAGGTTTAGTCCATTATCAATATGATGGGACGTGGTGACATGCAAGCACACATGGTGCTAGAAAAGGAACTACGATTCCTACATCTTGACCCCACAGATAACAGGAAGTGGTCTGAGGCACTGGGAAGTATCTTGAGCATATGTGAGACCTCAAAGCCCACCTCTAAAGTGACATACTTCCTCCAACAAGACACATCTACTCCAACAAGGTCACACCTCCTAGTAGTGCCACTCCCTTTGGGGGCCATTTTCTTTCAAACCACCACAAGGCATAAACTAGCTCTGGAATATTTGAGTAGCAATAATATTTCAACTAGTACCAAAAGAAGTAATGAATTTCAGATATTAGTAGATAAAATATAAAGATCATAAGCTGGACATGTACATAATAATATACTATAGTAAGTCAACAGTTATTATCCTTTTTGTATTTGTCATAAAGACAATAAGGATTTCTTCCATTCAGGTATACTTGGCAAACTTCCTTTCCTATTTGTAATAGTTATCTCAAAACACCAGAGTGTTAATGAAGTAGATGCTAAACTGTATTACTTTAAACCATATTTACTGAGGTAGTTCGAATGAGATTAACCTCCATAGGTTTCTATGATTGAATAGTTGGTCTCTAGTTGGTGAAATAGTTTGAGAAGAATTGGGAGGTGTGACTTTGTTGGAATAGGTGTGTCACTGGGGGAGGACTTTGAGGTTTCAAAAGTCCATGCCATTCTCAGTTATCTCTCTCTCTCTCTCTAATTTGTGGTTGTGGATTAGATGTGAGCTCTCAGATACTGCTCCAGGGCCATGCCTGCCTGCTGTCATGTTCCCTGCCAAGGTGGTCATGGACTCTAACTTTCTGAAACCCTAAACAAACCCCAATGGATTACTTTTTCTATAAGCTGCCTTTGCCATAGTGTCTTCCCACAGCAATAGAAAGGTAACTAAGACATTAACCATAATAATTTTAAAAAATCCTCACAGTTAAAATCATGGTAATAAGCTTTATGCAAAGCTACTACTGTTATCAAGTCCTAGATGGATTCAAACATAGTGATTATTTATAAGATGTAAGAAATCCACAGCTTCCACTTGCAAACTGAGTTAAGTAGGCTCATGGGAAATAACTAGTTCCTTAAAATGAATAAAACTTACATGAGAGTTCCTGGGAAACCAGGCAGGCAGGAACATTTGACATTGCAGGAAACATGGTACTTGAGTTGTCAGTGGCGACTACAGTAGTAGATGCTGGAGCCAACCTAAAAATCAAAGTAAGAAGCAAATTATCATGACAAAAAATAACTCCCCAGAAGTAAAGCACCAAAACAAGATTCATTTACAATCGTGGAAATAAGAGCAAAGCATGGAAAAGTAAGCAACTACAAATAAAATGTCTTTGGTTAAGAAAATAGCAGAAGCTATATTTTAAAAATGTTCATCAGTACTGCCTGCTAATAGCCTTCTAGCAACATCACTGAAACAGTAAACAGATGAGAAGCATCTCCTCCCTGGAAGGGCAGCATAAGAACTGCTGTGAAACTATTCGAAACTGGTGAAAGTGGTTTTTAAAAATTGTAAACTGCTGGAAATTATCCTAAGGGTATACAGCAAATGAAGAACAGTTCTTCGGGAACATCTGTTAAAAGTCAGTGATCTAACAATGATGGTTTACATGTGGCATACAAGCCATAACTCACTGTTTTCCTCCCACCCCCTTGCTTGCCTGTGTACAAGTAAAGCTCCAGATAAGAGTGGCTTAGAAGACTAGGTGCTCTCTGGCTCTGGCGCTCAATCAAGGGAGACAGGCAGCCAGCATTCTCATCACCTCCAATATGGATGTGAAGGGCAACACTGCTGGTAAATACAGCCAAACTTTCTAGGTCTTGTTTCTTTTAGCCAGTTCCCATTCATAGGATAGAAACTCCATTTTAGAGGGCTGAGAATAGCAGGGATCCAATCACACCACTCTGATTGCATTGCCTAAAGCTCATTTACAGTCTAAGTTCCCTATGGGAAGAGGCCATCAAGATCAGTGGCTGTTTCCACTGCCCAGCACCCAAAGTCCTGGATCAAAGAAAGATTTTGCTCCAGAGCTAACAGCTGGTCCTAAGAACAGAGAGCTCCCAAACTCACCCACAAAGAAATGACTTTATGTAAAACAGAACATGAGTAGTTCCAGTTGAAGGAAGATTTGGTGGTAAGCAATTAAAAGGTGACAGCTTTATGCTAACAAGAAGTTAGGCCCTCAGTCCTGTAGTCTACCAGAGTTAATAAGGAAGAATTAAGCACTGATCTATGCTATAGCATGAACAAATTTTGGAACTAGTAAGCTAAATGAAAGAAATAGGCACAAAGGCAATGTATTGCATGGTGTCAATTATATGAAATGTCCAGAATAGACAGAAAGTGTATTAGTGGTTGCCAAGGGCTGCAGGGGCGGGGTGGGAGGTAATGAAGGGTGACTGCTAACGGTACAAGGTTTCTTTTAGGGGTAATGAAAATGTTCTCAAGTTACATTCTGGTGGTGGTTGTATACTCTATGGCTATATTAAAAACCACTGAATTGTACAATTTCAAAGAGTGAATTGCAAGATGTGAATTATATGTCAATTATACTGTTATTAAAAAATACATTATCATCTCAGGAGAAGAAAAAAACTGCATTTGACAAAAATGCAATGCCCTTTCATGATAAAAAAACATTCAATGAACTGGAAAGAGAAAGCAACATCCTCAAATCTAATGAGTGATTTTTAATAACATGAAATAGCAAGGCTATTTATTCTGTCATATGTTGTAAATACTCTCCTACCCCAGTTTGTCAATGGCTTTTAATTTGTTATTATTCTATAAGTGATCATCTTTCCATCATTTTTCCCTTTATGGTCTAGTCTAGGTCTCAATATTATATTTTAAAGGGCTTTCCCCCTTAAACATAAGAAAAAGTATTCAACCTACTTTTAAGAAAAAAACCTGCAAATTGTAACTATGTTGAAAGCAATTTCACAAAAACAGATGACAAGAACTCAAAAACTACTAACACAGCTTATTAAGGACATCAAAAAATCAGGCAGCCTCATGGATTCCTAATGAGAGTGTAAAGTGGTATGGATCCTGTGGGAAAATGGGTAGTGCATGTTTTAAATATTACAAATGCATCCATAATTTGAGACAGAAATATTCTTCTGGAAATTTATGCATAGAGTGCACTTTATGTCACAGAACTATATATCTAGAGGTGACTAAGTATATATGTAAAGTGGTAAAGTTTTTAATGTACATTTCACCACAATAAATATGTAAGATGTTCTTGTGTACGTGTAAAATGACACATAAAATCATATCCAGGGATAGAGAGATGGTCAAGCAGGTAAAGATGCTTGCCACCAAGCCCAATCACCTCAGTTTCATACCCAGGATCCACATGGTGGGGTGAGTGCTTCGCAGAAGGACTGAATGGACTCCTGTTGTCCTCTTATTTTCACATATGTTCCACGGCACACACACACATACACACATAGATATATAAATGTGATAAAAATGATATCCACTACATTATTTTGATACTTTTTTGTATCAGTAAAAAAGAGGAAATTAATATAACAATTACCAAGGGAGTAGATATATAAATTACAGTATATCCAGAACATGGACTACTACACCGATATTAAAAAGATTCTAAAGAATCTCTCAATGATGTGAAATGAACTAAGGTTAAAAAGGTCTTAAACAAGTGTAGTATAAAATCTACAAGTTGAAAAAGCAGGGTACACACTAGTATATAGAATATATTATCTACCTCTATAAAAGACGGAAGGTTGGATTCTCTGGGATGGCTCAGTGCCACAAGATGATGCGAAACTGACAATTTGAGTTCTGTCCCTGGAACCTACTTAAAGACAGGAGACAACTTACTCAAGAAAAGTTGTCCTCTGAACTCTCTGTGAAAGCCATGATATGTGTGCCACCCCCCACAGTATAATAATTATAATTTTTAAAGGTGGAAGGCTAAGAACACAACGATAGTGGCTAGATGGGTATGGAAAACGGAGAGTAGTCCAGTGCACAGGGGTGTAGTACATCTATTTGTTGTATTTATAGTTTTATTTCAAAATCATTTGCCTATATTATTTAAGAATTAGACATAAGTACATGTTCTTGTAGCCAGTGTGGGAAACATTACTCATATAGTTTCATATTCACCTATGCCTTTAAAATATTTATGCACTCTATTTTCTACCTCTAATTCACATGATATTTCTTATGATTAATATTTTAAGCAAACAACAGTTAGCCAGCTATTACAATTCATTTATTCATTATTTTACCCTTTCACCCTATGGATTTGAAATGCCACCATCATGCACACAGGCTTGCTTTTGTGCCTTAAAATATTTCACTGATTTTTTTCTTCCTGTGACTGTTACACAATAGATTCTCAATTATTATAACCATAGAATTATCTATTTTTACATTACATAATATTTTAAACTTACAGGAAGAGCATCAATTTATGCATTTTGATATGTTTTCCCAAAACCACTCCATCATTACTTGCCTAACACAACAGGGGTGGCAAGCATCATGCATTTCTTCCTCCATTTGAATTTTAGAATCTTTCCAAGTGCTTTGTTCCTTTCCTTCTTCCCAAAGAACCACTATGGCTTCACCATTAGATGGACAGATTAATTTGAAGGTGAATATCGTCTTGACATTACTGAGTCTGCTCATTCAGTGGTCCTGTTCATTATTTGGTGTATCTCCTTTATGTCTCAGTAAAACTTTGTTGTTTTCTCCATCTAACTCATGCATATTTTCAAAAACGTATTCCTGGGTATTTCATAATTTTGGTTGAAATGTTAATGGACCTTTTCTTGGCTGTATTTCCAAAAATCTATTGCCTAAACATAGTGAAGCTATTGATTTTTATATTATTTATTTTGTAAATGGCTGTATTGCTGAAACTTCTTCACTAGCTCTAATTAAATTTCTCCTTGATTTATGCCCATATTTTTAAAAATCCTGATCATTTATCTCAGATCCTGGCATAATTTCAGAGCCTGTCCTTAAATCGCATACCCAAAGATAACTAAGGAAGCAAATATCATTTAATATGACTTACTTTTTCGTTATATGAATCTTACTCTGAAATAGAAAAGAGTTTAAGACACAAAACCCTTCTTTTCATCATTACAACTAGAGTAGGATTTCTTAACTTGACACTGTTGACATTTTGGTCTGATTATATTTTGTTAAGGAAGACTGTCCTGTACAATGTAGGACATTTACTGAGCTCTGGGTATATACTCAAAGGACTCTGTATCCTACTACAGAGTTATCTGCACACCCATGTTCACTTCTGCTCTATTCACAAGCTAGGAAACTGAATTTATTTGGATATCCAGAAACTGATAAATGGACAGGAAAAATTCAGTGTACACAGTGGGACATGATTTAGAGATAAAAAGTGAAAGTATGAAATTTTCAGAGAGATGGATAGCACTGGAACAATTATACTGAGTGAGGTCACCGAGATCTCATATGTGGATCGGGGTTCTGGATCATTCTGCGTTTTAAACTTGAAATACAAGTTGAACCCAGAAAATTAGAAAGCTGCCAATAGGGCCGGGCAGTGGTGGTGCACACCTTTAATCCCAGCACTCAGGAGGCAGAGGCAGGTGGATCTCTGTGAGTTTGAGGCCAGCCTGGTCTACAGAGCGAGTTCCAGGACAGTCTCCAAAACAATACAGAGAAATCCTATCTTGAAGAAAAAAGAAAAATAAAAAGATGCCAATAGGAAGGAATACATTAATGCAGTGGGGAAAAGAAAATACAGGTAAAATCCAATAGAGGGAGGGAATACTTTGAGTCGAAAGATTCAAGCAGGCAAGCTGCAGGGAACATGGGGAAAACAAGGGGCAGTAGGAGGGCTAACCAAAATAAAGGGTGTATGGAAAGGTCATGCATCCCAAATAAAAATATAATAGGGGGCTGGAGAGATGGCTCAGAGGCTAAGAGCACAGGTCCTCTGTTCTTCCAGAGAACCTGAGTTCAATTCCCAGTAACCACATTGTGGCTCACAACTATCTATAATGAGATCTTGTGCCCTCTTCTGGCATGCAGGTGTACCTGCAGGCAGCACACTGTATACATAATAAATACATCTTTAAAAATGTAACAGGCATAGTAGAATTCACGTGATATGTAAGAAGATTTTGGGATACAGAAGATTAAAGGTTTAAGAACTAATGAGATTTAG